ATTTGAGGACCAGAGAAGATTAGATAATAGCTCAACAATGAAGCCGGTGAAGTTCTCACTTAATAAGTCTTATTTTTTCTATTTAGACCTCCAGCAATCAGATGAGAGCTACTCTCATTAGGGAGGGCAATCTACTTTATCTACTTTACTTGGCCCACTGATTTAATTGTTAAGCTCACCTGGTCATAACAGCAAGTGCCTATAGTCCCAGTTACTTGGGAGGCTGAAGCCAAAGAATCACCTGAGCCCTGGAGGCTGAGGTTATGGTGAGCTATGATTATGCCACCACACTCCAGCCTGGGAGAAAGAATGAGATCCCAGCTTTAAAAAAAAAGAAATTGTTAACCTCATCTCAAAACATCCTGACAGACATATCTAGAATAAAATTTGATCAAATATCTGGGTACTCTGTGACCCAGTCAAGTTGACACATAAAACTAATCATCACAATCAGAACCTATCTGGCTTTTAAATACTTGACTATGACTGTACCTATTTTATTGGGAGCCATTTGCATTGGCCATTATTTAACCATTGTTCATAAAATTAATGATTATGACCAAAGGTTAGCGATTGTACTTGGAAACAGAATTGCACTACCTTGACTTGCAACTGCAAGGCTACCAGGTATATACTCAGCTTCTAATTTCATTCTCATCCTCTTGCTCCTGGATACTTAGATTAACCACTTCAGTGTATATCGCTAGGCAGTGACTCCAGGAGGACTGACACAGAGATTTCTTTGTACCCAAAAATTGCCATAATAATAATTTGACAGCTTAAATAGCATTGTATTTTATGCTCTTAATCCAGGATTCACCATTTTCACATTTTTTCTAAACTATAATATGGCATGATAGAGTCTGAAAAAAAAATCCAAGAATTAAGTCTGACACCTGAAAAAAGGTAAGACTGTATTCAGTGTTAGAGGGAATATGGGGAATCCATATTTTGTTTTAAAAGACAGAAACCAGCCGGGCTCAGTGGCTCAGCCTGTAATCCCGCACCTTTGGGAGGCTGAGGTGAGTGGATTGCCTGAGCCCGCGGGTTCGAGACTCGCCTGGGCAGCGAGACCTCATCTCTACAATAAATCAAAAAATCAGCCGTGCGTGGTAGCGCCTGCTTGTAATTCCAGCTACTCGGAAGGCTGAGGCGGAAGGATCACTGGAGCCCAGCAGGTCGAGGCTGCGGTGGCCAGGAGCGGCCACTGTACTCCAGTCTGGACGACAGAGTGAGACTCCAACTCAAAAAAAAAAAAAAAGACAGAAACCATCTGGAAAGGCAGGTGTGGTAGGCAGATCACTGTTCTATAAACCCAAGATTGTTTATAGAATCTTGATTGACAGCCTTATAGCAGTGCAATTACCCCAAGATTCTTACAGATAAGATCTAACCAAATCTACCAACATTGGACTGTATCTCCAGTAAATTACTTGATAAATAATTGTAGTTTAAAATTGACATTTAAAATAAAAATAAATTATATAATGTGCACATAGTGATTCATGAAAATACTAATTGTGTATTTATAGTTAATTATACAAAATATTAAAAAATGAGAATTGTTTTTCATCAGGACAGGTCTAATTAATCATTGGCACTTGATTCTATTTATTTGCAGTATGTGTAGCTATAGGATAAAAATGCTATTAGTTAAATAGAAATCTTGGTGGAGTGTTTACTTTTATATTAACTCTTGCCTAAATCTAAGCATAAAATATGACTTGCTTTAATTGATGTAATACCTTTCATGTTGAGCTTAGTTACATAATAGGAACATTTTCTTTAGCTTTTAAATATTTGTTAACACTTCTAAAATGATTTTGAAAACTAAAACAATGTGTTACATTACATTTGATAGTTGAAAGAACAGTGTCTATATCATAAGGAAACAAATAATTAGAAAGTAAAAATATAAATTATTTATGTATCTTGGTCACTTGTCACCAAATCAATCACCTAATTTTCTGTATTAACCAAATTGTTTCACTGCTTTGTCTTTCTATAGCTACGCCTAAGAGACATAGTATGCCTGCTCCCAGTGTGGTAAACTCTTGCTTCAGAATACAATAAAGGGTGAATATAAGCATTATATATGAGTAGGCTTAATGATTTGTAAAGTTATTTTACCTTTTTTGACCATTACAACAACATTTCAAGGTAAATATGGTAAGTATTTATAAGAGATTGTAGTATACAAATAAAGTAGCAGCGCATTTTAGTCAGAGTTCTCAGGTACAAGTTAGTAAAGACATATTCTTGTCTTGATTGTTCTATGTAAAAATTATTTGACATCAAACTAATTCTTTTTCTCTTTTCTGGACCCTCTTTTTTCTTATTGACAGTATATAAGCAATGTTTCTTAAAGTATATTATGCAGACCCCTGCTGCTACCTAAGACTTTTCAAAATGTATGTGTACATACATTTATAATAATACACAAATGTTATTTGCTTTTTTCCCTGTGTTAACATTTGTACTAATGGTGCAAAAATAATGGTGAGCAAAATTATTGGTATCTTAGTACAAATCAAGGCAGTGCCATCCAGCCATACTAATGGTTATTGTAGTTATCAACATATTTTGGTTGAAGCAATAAAAATTAATCAAATTTTAATCTCTACTCTTGCAAACAATGTTTTTCATATTCTGTGTGATGAAATGGTAAAAGTACACACAGAACACTTTTGTTGTATACCAAAACTTAAGGACTGTTCCAAATAAAAGCAATTGGGCAATTCTGTCATGTGTAAGTTGAACTCACTGCTTTACTTTAGGGAGAAACAGTTTTACTTGAAAGAACAACTGTTCTTTCAGTTTTACTTGAAAAAACAACTGACATATGGTCATTCAAACTTAGGCTTTGACAGTCTTGAAGATGAGCAAAGTAAGACTGTTACTTAAAAAACAAAACAAAACAAAAAACAACAAAAGACTATTAATAATATTTGCTACCAGTAAAAAAGTTACAATTTTCCAGCAAAAATTAGGACATTAGAAAAGGTGGGCCGGGCTCGGTGGCTCAGACTGTAATCCCAGCACTTTGGGAGGCCAAGGCAAGTGGATTGCCTGAGACTGAGGGTTTGAGACCAGCCCAGGCAACTTGGCAAGACCTTGTCTCTACAATAAATCAAAAGTTAGCTGGGCACGGTAGGGTGCCTGTGGCTCCAGCTACTTGGAAGGCAGAGGCGGAAGGATTGCCAGAGCCCAGGAGGTCAAGGCTAGGGTGGCCGTGAGTGTGCCAATGAACTCCAGCCTGGGCAACAGAATGAGACTGTAGTTAAAAATAAAAAATAAAAAATGTTTAAAAAGGTTTTAAGTGAGATGAATGGTGATATTAATTATAGAATATTATATAATGAACTGTGTCAATATTTGGAAACTCTGCATCACTTCACCAAACAATATTTTTAAATGACTTTTGCGTGATGCTATAAAGCCATGTGCATGAAAGAAAAACCAGTGGTTTTAAGGAAAAAAATATTAAATGTATATTGATATGATCCCAGATTTCACATCGCAATTATCCTTTAAAATCAACCACTAACTGAGTTTTGGAACAATATCAAAAAAGAATATCTACAAATATCTCAAAGGGTTATTAAAATAACCTTACATTTCCAACTTTACATTTGAATGAGATCAAATATTCTTGATACATATCAACAAAATCAATATTGTAATCAATGTAATGCCAAAGTAAATACATGTATTAAACGTTCTTATAAAACCAGACAGACATAGAAGATTAACAAAAATGAGAAACAATGTTTTTTTTCTTCACACTACACTATATTGGAAAATATTCATTATAAAAATATTATTTATATTAACAGGTTAACCAGTTTATAATAACAATTTTATCAGGGGTTGGCAAACTGCAGCTCATAGACCCAAGCTAGCCTGAAGGCGACATCTGTCTTCTCACCTATTTTTGTAAATAAAGCTTTATTTGGAATATAGTCACACTCATTGTTTTATGTCTTGTCAATTACAGCCTTTGCTCTACAGCAGCAGAGTTGAATAATTGCAAGCACTTACAAAGCCTAAAGCTCACAAAGCCTAAAGTACTTATTATGTTGCCATTACAGAAAAAGTGTGTGGATTCCAGAGTTTATTGTTATTATTTTTAAACAAATTAATACATATAACCTGACATATATTCTTTGGAGTTCTAACTAATTTTGAAGACCATGAAATATTCCTGGAACTGTAAAAACTGGGAACCTCTTCACTAAGAAAGCAAAATAAATATTACCTTCCTAAAAAAAAATAACCATTTGTTTCTTTTTCCCCAAAACTATTTAAAAGTCCTTAGGTTGACTATCCTTTGACAGAAAGCCACTATTCCTCTCCAGGTGGCCAACATAACTCTCAGGCTCCAGAGACCTGTTCTTCTTCTTGTTCCTTCATGTCTTAGTGTGATGACAGCTCTGCTAGTATTTGTTCAGGGTTCATGCACTATCCTTTGCAGTTCCTCTGAACCCCACCCACATCTGTGTTATTGATCCCTTTTAATAATCTTATCTTTAATGATTCCACTTAAATGTGATATATATATATATACACACATATATATGAATACATATATAATATATATATATGAATACATATATAATATATATATTTACTTGGGACTTCAACTAAGAGTATATATACAGTCATGTATTATTTTACAGTAGGGATATTTTCTGAGAAATGTGTCATTAGGCAATTTTGTTGTATAAACATCATACAATGTACTTGTACAAATCTAAATGGTATAGTCTACGATATACTTCGGTTATATAGCATAACCTATTTCCTCTAAGTCACAAAGTCATACAGTATGCTACTGTACTAAGTATATAGGCAACTGTAACACAATGGTATTTGTGTATATAAGCATATCTAAACATTAAAAAGTACAGTAAAAATATAGTATTATAATCTTATGGGATCACCATCATATGTGTGGTCTGTTATTGATGGAAGCATTTTCATGCAGCACACAACTGGATATAGGAATATATATACTCTCTCTCCTCCTCTTCCTGTTCCATTCAGAGACAGCTGCCGCTCTTCTGGGAAAAGACCCTAGAAGATGCAGGCTTTCAACATCTGGGATGTTAACCAGAAGACCTTCTACCTGTGGAACAACCAACTAGTTGCTGGATATTTACAAGGACAAAATACTAAATTAGAAGAGAAGATAGATGTGGTGCCCATCGAGCCCCATGCTCTGTTCCTGGGGATCCATGGAAGGAAGCTGTGCCTGTCGTGTGTCAAGTCTGGTGATGAGACCAAACTCCAGCTGGAGGCAGTTCACATCACTGACCTGAGCAAGAACAGAAAGCAGGACAAGCGTTTCACCTTCATCCACTCAGACAACAGCCCCACCACCAGCTTCGAGTCAGCTTCCTGCCCAGGCTGGTACCTCTGCACAGCATTGGAAGCCAATCAGCCTGTTAGCCTTACCAACACACCTGACAAGGCCATCATGGTCAACAAGTTTTACTTCCAGCAGGACAAGTTGAAGGGCCACCGCCAGGGCCACCACCAGGCACTAGCAAACCACATCCCCTCCCTTTTCCTGGAAAGGCGCCCAAACTCAGCCCCCACCTAAAATGGCGACCCAGCAAACAAAGCGGGCCTCTGAAACGGTACCTTCCGAGTTCTTCTTCCATAGTCCGGCTCACCTTTTCCCGCGCCCGCGAAAAATCCACCAACCTGGATGGAGCTCCGCCAGGCGACCAATAATCGACTGACACCGCCCTAAAGGCTGGTGTGCCCTTGCTTCAGTCTTACAGCCTGACCCTCAGGTCCTGTAGCCCACCACGTTTGACCCATTAAATCTCTTGGCCTTAACGGGTGTTGAGTCTCATTGTGCGCCACCATTTTTCATTGGTGCCATGACTCCGATCGGGTTCCTCTTGCACTCGGGCGAGACCCCATTCTGGCGCCAGCGGGACTTACCCCTTAAGGTCTTCACCCACTTTCTTGAATGCTAGCGCTGCATCCATCACCGGCCCTCGGATTGTTAAGTGCCCCTAACTGGAAAACCTAAAACCTTGCCTGGGATAACCGGAGGGAACTGACCATTGATCATCCGGCAGCCCTTTCGGCCCCAGGAGAGGGGGGGACCACACCCCACATAGGTCTTTAAGGCCACAGCAGACCCCTACTGGTTTTCCCCACTCCCGCCTAGGTCTTTAAGGCCACAGCAAACCCTGACTGGTTTTCCCTTCCCTCGGCCGTCAGGTATTTCGAGTCTGCTCCCTCCCGCCATCCGGTTTTGGGCATCCTCTTCACTAAAAATCCTGGTACCAGGTTGCCCTCAACCTTCTTGATGCTCCAGGAGAATCGCGGGTTGTAATAACGTTCTGTGATGACAGGCTTTATTGCAACCTCCTCATATCCTGACAGCCAGCTGTCCAGGGGATGCTCTGCTCAGCCCCAGCTGTTAAAATGGGAAACTCGTCATTCCTGCCGGCCGGCCGACTCTCCCTTCAAATGCCTCTTAGACAACCTCTCCACTCTCTCCCTCATTCCCGACATTAAACTCCGCTTCAGTACCCAAGCTTGGCCTACCTATCGCATGGACAACCTTACGGGTACCTAAACCCCGACATTATACAGGACCTCTATAACTTCTGCAAGCATTCAAAAAAGTGGACAGAGATTCCCTATGTCCAGTCTTTCTCTTTACTCCGGGAACATCCTTGTCTCTGCCTCTGATATAAACCAGTTCACCTCCTCGTGGCTGCAAAGGGCCCCTCTCTCCCTCCAACGCCGCCACCTCCCTCTTCCGTCTCTAACCCACCTCCCTCTTCCGTCTCTGACTTTGACCCAGCAGATGAACCTCCTCCC